CAGTGGCGGAATTGAAAAGAAAGATGCTTATGCAAACTATTTTCTCGTGATTGTTCCCGTCAGGGAGCTTTTGAAATCACTTTTGTAATGGAAACCGAAGATCGTCCACACAATAATATTTCCTCTGCAGGCAGACGGAATAACAGCAACAATGTAGCGTACCAGTATTTCCTCTGCAGGCAGACGGAATAACAGCAACAACGTACCACGGGCTTATCAAGAAAACCCGAGACGGGTCAGAGATTTGTCTGTCAAACAAAGTCAAATGATTGCAAGACAGCAGCAGCGCGGCCTCCATGTGCAGGAGGTAAATTTAATCAGTGCTGCTAATGCGGGAGGGAGGATTCAGGTAAATTTGCATGGCGGCAGGAGGAGAGCAGAAGATGGATATTAACGAACTGTATATATTGTGACGAGTATTAGAATCCCATTGAAAGGAAAATAACAGCAAAAGGTATTTCTGGATGTTGTGTTTGAATATACCGTATTTAGATGCATTCATGCTAGCGTAACAGTTGATTGACGGTTATAAAAAAAGAAAAATGACCGCAATGGCGATGCTAAACTCTGTTGTTCCAAATATGAGAGAAAACTGCTAACCCGCTTGTAGGAAATAATACATCATGTCAATAAGAATAAAGGAACAGCAAAAAAATAAATAAAATATGTATCGTAAAGATGATAAACTGCGTTTTCTTTCGGATTGTGACCTTGAGCAGAGCAGACCTGAATAATCAATATGGGTGGATTTAATATGAGAACCTCGACAGTCAAAACCTCAACGTGGATGCTCAGAACAAACTAAAAAGTGACATGACCGTAGTTAAACACAAAACTATTGAGTTGATCTGACATTAATGTGAATCCTTTTCTGTACAATTTAAGGAATCTCACAACAATGACAGCTAAATGTACTGTCATTGCAGTTATTACATTTGTTGTCAATTAAAAAAAAAACTATTTATTCTTGTAGGACCTTTTTTTTTTAGTTTGTGTGTGTGTGTGTGTGTGTGTGTGGTCTCAAAACATCATCATAGGATGATACGTTTAACTTACCAAAACTTGAAAATATCATTCTTACTCTTTTTTTTTTTTTTTTTTTTTCCGGTCGCTTTTCATCATCCAGTATACCCGATTTTGGAAAGGGACACATTTCCTCGACATCAACAACAGACAACAACAACTGCAAATGCTTTTAGGCAAAAATGACTCAGTGGTCATGAGTCTAGACGAGTTGCCGCGCACAGCGCGGTTATGTAATGTTTAAAGTGAGCAAACTGCTCCAAGCAGGAAAACATATTTGTGGTTCAGGAAGGGTGCTCTTGTCATGTCCTTCCATAACAACCCCCTCTCTCCCCCGATAATTCCAAAACAGAGCCTATATCAGTAAAATATAGATTTTTAACAGGTGCTTGTACTATATTTCTTTATCGGCCTATTTTGACAACCTTTAAAAAAAAGTTTATAAATGGAAGGATATTTAATCGCATCTCTTGATACAATATTTGGATAATCAGCGAAACATGATGAGTAAATTACATTGTATTTGTTAATCAAGCAACCAATGAGTTAAGTGTTTCATTCAGTCCGGGACTTTTTGATTTTCTTTCGAAATGTTTTCAGTTCTGATAATGATACAAATTAAAACATGCTCATCTTATAACAGATCGAAACTGTTTTCAACTTTTTGTCACGTTCCGCCTGTTGCAACCTCACATTGTAAAATTAATACATCAGTGTAATGTGTTTGCATTATTTTCATCATTATTATTACATTTATTATTACATGATACAATTATTACATCATTATATTGAATTTGAGAAAGCAAAATTATTAGCTTCTATCAAAAAAAAAATGCTGCAGGATAAGGAGAGCTTTTTACCCTTAAAATTAGACAGCACCATAAAACAAAGCATGACTGAGCAATGGAAATACAAAAAGACATGATTTGTTTTTTTCCCCTCCCAATGTTTTTTCATATTTTGGCTTTTTCCGGAATTTATATACCACAATCCCGAGGGTTTCATGGAAAACATCTGTTGAAAGTTTGTCAGCATTTTAGGTAGAATAATTTGGGTTTGTAAAAACAACAACAACAAAAACAATTTAAAAAAAACAGCTGGCCACCAGCTATGTTGAGCTACAGCACTTCCATCGCAATGCAATATCCTCCCTGCAGCACTGCCATTCATAGAGTTCAGAATCTTCAGTCCTTTCTCAATAAAATTGAAAAAAAACATCAAAATTATCAACACCTTTCCTCAAGTTAAAGTACTGTATTTTCTGACATGGCGGCTTACAACCTAAACTGTTTTCCAACCAATCACAGGGCACGATGCATGTTTTTGGAATGTGGGAGGAAAACTGAGTACCCGTAGCAAACCTACGCGGGCACAGGGAGAACATGCAAACTCCACAGAGTAAGGCGGATGCACTAACCAATTGTCCACTTTGCCGCCCACACCAAGTAACAATAAAATAAAACTACCGTATTTTCCGCACCATAAGGCGCGTTGGAGTATAAGGCACACTTTCAATGAATGGCCTATTTTAAAACACTTTTTTTTATTCATATGTAGAGCACACCGCATTATAAGGCACACTGAAGCTACAACAGTGGCTGCGGTTACATTATGCATCCACCAGATGGAGCTACGCTAAAGAGAATACAATACAATGCAGCTTTATTTCTGTAGTGCTTTCACAACTGCTGCAGTTGGAACAAAACGCTTTACAGAACCTTTAAAATACTATGTCCAAGAAATCAGAACATTGATCCATATATAAGGCGCATCGGATTATAAGGTGCACAGTCGGCTTTTGAGAAAATTGAATGCTTTTCGGTGCGTCTTATCGTGCGGAAAATACGGTACGTGGCAGGTCGACTTTAGGTATTCGATATTTGCTTTGTCGCGTCCCACCTATCCAATACTGGACTGTTTTGGCTTTTATCGCTCGCCGCATCGTGCCTGCTCGAAATATTGTAAATAAGACCGATTGCGCTGTCATGTCGCATGTTTTCTTCTACAAGGTGGCGAACCGCATTTGAAGATCCCACGCTGACCCTGCCAATTCCACACTTCTCAGGTACTAACTGCTAACAGCCAGACACCTTTACTGCGTTTCCTTTTGTGAGTGTTGATTGCAAATCGACGACTGGCGTCGCAGTCCCATGCAGTGAAGCTGGATGATTCCATCTGCAGAGGAAAGATGCTGCCTTTTCCGTTTGCCGGTCAGTTGGTGTGGTCACTCTCTCATATTCACAAATCGGTGTCTTGACGTTCTCCATTTAGTTTACTTGGCTTCCGAGCTTCAAACCTTAAAGGTGTAAGGTCAAACATAAGCAAAATTTCTGGTAGGATGATGGAATGAAACAAAGTACGAGTTGTTCTGAAATGCTTCCTGATCAAAGATGTTTGTTTACTCTGTACTCGGCGTCATATATAATTCAAACGTCAAAGGAGTTACAGCATGCGGGATGGTAAGTTAAAAAAAAATGAGAAAGAGAAAAATAAGAAGAATAGTTCTTCTTTGTAAAATGTCAAGACGACATCCTTGAACACTCCTCGCCATCACTGCTGCTGTTTGCTCAGAGCGATTTTTTTCTTTAAATATAACGTCATCTTTATGAATTACATTTACTCTTGGACTATTTTTTAAAATTTGAAACATATCCTCATATATATATTTTTTCTCCATCCTTTCATCACGACATTGCATATGCAGTGTCTTTTTCCTCATATTTGTTTTACTACTTTGATCCTTCTTTTATTTTGGACGTTTGTTGATTTCATATTTTTGATAAATCCCAGGACCTTGTTTGCCTTTTTGTTCTTTCAAAATGAAACTAGTTTTTCAGTGCAATCCTGCCTCCCCTGCACTTGGGTCCTCAACCACGCATATTCTTGACAGCTTCATTAATAAATAGAACTTCAGGGTCCAAACTTAAGCGACAACAGAGAGTCACGATATGCGACAAAGCTCTCACAACTATAGAGATAACACCACCACCACCACCAAGCATATGGTTCTTTTTTCATCACTCTGAAACTGTCAGTCAAAACATTATCTTTCATAACACAGAATTGTGAATGCGGTACTGCATGTCATTAAATTGTGTGAATGGTCATAATGAGCTACTCTGCGTATTTAGCCACTGAAAGACGAACATACTGGGCTCTATTTTTACATCTGTGATCGCCCTGGTAAACTTTACGATGTTCGCAAGTGAAGCTCTGTTTGCAGTTTCTTAGAAATACACTTTATGCGCTTTGATTTTCCGCATCAACTCAAATCTAGATCTGCTTTTGCACTGTCAAAGACAGTGCAAAAGGTGTGCCTCCCTAGCGGTGAATTTAAAATAATCGGAACTGCTTTCATTGGCCCGCAAGCAAGTCAGCTGTGTTCACTCTCACATTGGCGCAAACGCCCCTTTCTCCCTGCACCTGTCTTTGAAACTACAAAAAAAAAAAAAAAAAAAAAAAAATGCACTTTGCGCTAGATTTATGCTGGGCACGAAAATTGGGCCCACTGTGGGTTTTTATTTAAGCACGGCGGTGCTGAAATTCATTTTAGAATTGCCCCCGTCTTTTTTCGACATAATACCATGGCTGCTGTGACTTGGCTAGAGACCAGACATTGAGAGCACAGTCAATTATGGATTCATCATGCAAATGCTGCATGTATAGAGGTGTGGGGCTGAGTGATAATGATGTGTGTCTTTTCAAAAAAAAAAAAGTCGAAGAAGATTGCAAATATAAATAAACATGCATGTGGTGCTATGCAAAGTAGGCTTTTCAGCGGACAGTCAACAACCTGACTAGCCATTTAATTTGGATGTGTCAATGCAAACAAGCCGGCTTGCTCGAATGGATGGTGGTGTTTTGTTGCAGAATGGCGGGGGTCTAAATGAGGTGGTTGTGTGCAATTTGCCGACACTTGACTGAGTTCTGACGCCAGCGCAGTGATGTAAGAGACGGGGGGAAGAATGGGGGGGGAGTAGAGAGAAAGAGAGGTGGTCTGCTTCACAGCTCTGACGGTCTACTTTACTTTCGCGGACCCAGACAGAGAAGGACTCCCAGCGGATCTTTTTAACAGAGGTAGGTTGGCTTTCCACACCCACCCTTTTAAAAATATGCAGCTTGTAAAGTCAATGGTTTTAATCAATGTGACTACATTTACAAAATATATATGTATATATATCTTGAGAATATCAGTATCAACCACGTGGAAACGTTCAAACGCATCACGGGAAAAAAAAACAAAAAACGTGCGTGTTAGATTGCAAGAACGCAAGGGTCGAGCCACAACTGCAGCAAGTTAGTTGGACGCCTGCATTTATACAAGAATGCCATAATGAAATGCATGACGTGTCGCTGACGTGGGGGATCATACGAAATGAGCTCTACTTATGTTTCCAGTCTAACCGAGACTTGAGCAGAACGAACCTGAACCTCAGTCGTCAGCACCTTGGACAGCGAATCAAAGCAAAACCAACGGGAAAGGCGCTCCCGAGTCCGGGCGTCCAGAGACGTGACTCCCCGCTTTGGATTTGCGGTTGTCCCCCCCTCCCCCCCACCACCTCCGCCCGCGCATCATCATGGGCCGCAGCGGACTTTAGTTCAGTTCATGAGCTCTGACAGCCCAGATATGCCCTTGAAGGCAATCTAACCAGAGTTGCATTCAGCATGCAGCCTGCACGCGGGACTGAGCGATCGACGGGGAAACTTAGCTCGGACTGAAATCTTCTGCGAAGCTTTAATCAGAGTTGTCTCGACAAAAAAAAAAAAAAAAAAAATCGTAGACTTGCTTTGTGCCGCGCACCATGGGGAAAAGGCACCTTTTGTTACTTCTCATTTATCTGGATCCACTGAGCGTGCTGAGTGCGGCCACGGGTGGGAAAAAAACCAAACAGACGACCAGGAAGGTTCCCAAAGCCACGGCGGCTCCCACGGTGGTGGCGCCGCAGCCGAAGACGCCGCAGCCCGCTCCGGCCAGCAACCACGACACGTGCCTGGGTTATTACGACGTCAGCGGGCAGTATGACAAAATGTTCGAATGCAACAACACGGACCATCGCTACTGCTGCGGGACTTGCTACCTGCGCTTCTGCTGCGAGTACAAGAAAGACAGACTGGATCAAAAAGCCTGCACGAACTACCAAAAGCCGGTGTGGGTGCAGACTGCCGCCCCGTCCCCAGTACCGACGGGGGAGACTTTTGAGGGCATGGACCAGACCAACACGGCGGTCTACATCACCTGTGGGATCATAGCCTTCATCATAGTGATGGGAGTGTCCGCAAAAGTTGCTTATGACAAAGCCACGGAACCGCCCCAAGAGATGAATATACACAGGTAAGGAGCACTTACAAGTAGCCTATATTGCGTTGCAAAAAAATATGATGACCCTTTGAATAACAGAACGCTGTCTAATCAAAAAGCTACAAATATAATTGAGTGATTTTTGACTTAACATAAATCGATGAATATACACAGGTAAGGAGCACTTACAAGTAGTATATTGCGTTGCAAACAATATGATGACCCTTTGAATAACACAACGCTGTCTAATCAAAAAGCTCCAGATATAATTGAGTGATTTTTGACTTAACATAAATCCATTATCGTGGCTGTAGTCCGCAGTGGTGTAAAATTGCATGCCATGACATAACATAAGACGTTTTCTTGTCGCTTAAAAAAAAAAAAAAAAAAGGTCTCAGGGTTAGACGAGATGACATCCAACTCTCAGTATGCTCCAGCACATTTCTACCTCCCTGCAAGCTAGAACCACCATAACAAATTCATTGCATGGTCACTGTAATATCTCCTGACGGTGGCCATGGGGCGGGGTGGGGGTTGGGGGGGGCATTTCTTTATGCCATTTACTTTTACCGCCTGTCGTTGATAGTTCAAGCATTTTTGTCGTAGCTCCTCAGCACACATTTTCACTATTTAAAAAAAAAAGTGGTTCAGTAAGTTCAAAGTGGACGCTAGAATGACAAAAATGGCATTACAGTGAAGATTCATTTTGATCCGTGAGTAGTAAGCGTTGGCTCACAAGGTAAAATTTGATACCTTTTGCCAGAGCCAAAATGATATATATATAAATGGTATGCGCTCCCATTTTGTAAGAAAAAAAAAAATCAATGTCACAAAAGGAATTCCATTGTAATTGTGCAACAATAGTGAAATCTTATGTGAAATAAAGTCCAATGAAACAAATCAGGGATATTTGGTGCGCCCTCATAAAACAAATATCAAATCTTGAAATGGCTGTCAAGGGATTGATTGACTGATTCCAAGCCAAATGACGTGGGCCTTTGACATCGCAATCCATTTGCAGATGTCCCCCCCCCCCGCCCCCACTCCCCTAAAAGAAGTGTGTCAGAATGGCAGCCTGAAATAATTACACAGTCAAAAAGAAGCTCATTACTCAGACGGTTCTCTTTGAATGCGTGCGCGCGTGCTCTCGAGTTTGACGCCGCAATCAAAAAAAAAAAAATCATGCTGCATTTCCCCACTTTTCCAATAATAGGCCACGCATTCGCACATCCTCGCCGATTCAAAAATGGCAAACCGATCATCAAATGTCACACCTTGAACCTCATCCCGACCAACCTGACCCCTTTCCCACTTGAATGACCGCACGCGACGGCGTGGTGCGTTTAAGTGCGCAATCGGCAAGAACGCTTAGAAGAGCTCGGAGACGGTTATAGCAAGAGACCACATTTGATCCCCTCAGCTGGCTCCGGCTCCCTCCTGCGGCTTTTCCATGCGAGAGTTATCATACATGAGTGGGCCGCAGACTGCGCCCACATCTGGAAACAAATGCTGACACACATTAATTCCTCAAGATTGAATGGTTTGAATGCATTATTCAACGCTCCGGCAGTCTTAAGATTGTGAATAATGGATACTGTTAATGTTGGGGTTGTACCAAGGTCGTGTGACATGTATGCACCGCTGCACATTGAATCAAGAGCGGGGAAGGCAAGGGGAGCGGAAATATTCTTTTAAAAGCAAAAGGTTACCCCCAATGTTATATTTGATCTACCGGAGCTTTGAGCCGGTGCAGCCGTGCAAAAAGTAGTTTGATTTCCCTTTTAAAAGCGACGCCAGAAAAAAAGGAAAAAAAAAAAGCAAACAAACCCGACCCCGAAAAAAAAAAAAAAAAAAAAAAAAAGCAAACAAACACTTTTTGAACTTGCCTCTGCCTCTCTTGCTCGCTCCCTCTCGAGGGTTCCATGTGCACCTGGCGCGGTCTAAAAAAAAAAATTATTCCAATTCAACCTAATTAGATGAGATGCTCACACACATGCAATGGCGGTTCCCCATTCATCATCTTCCCAGGATTAAAAAAAAAAAAGACACACAAAACAGAGAAGCCCCAAATTATCCATAATAGCGCGACGTCGTCTTGACAATTAGCCGCTATTTTGTGTGCGGGGGGGGAAAACAGACGCATTATTGCCTCATTTTGAAAATCAGCATTAAGAGACGCTTCGAGTAGAATAACATTTTGCTGTTGACTGTTAATTCTCAGGGCCCTTGCCGACATCCTGAGGCAACAGGGGCCCATTCCCATCTCTCAATACGACTGCGAGAACTTTGCAGCGATGAACGGCTCGTCCAAAGACAACACACCGGTCAGAACCTCATCCAAGAACCACTACACTCCTGTTCATGCCTCTAAATCCAACCACGGTAAGAGCCCTCCTTTTTTTGAATCCACTTCAATACACTAAAACTCTCAAAAGCATCCACTAGTTTATATATAAAAACGCCAACAAAGAGCACACACGGTGCTCAACCTCTCAGCTGCATAATCTCCAATGTTAACATCCTGTGATCATCACATTTGGGCAAGAGAGTGTGCGGGAGAGCGCCACAGAGGGGAAAGGGAGCCGGCGACAACGGATAATTACCGGCTGGCAAAGTAACGCAGCCCCGCGATGTTTGACAGGGTGGAAGTTGTGACCTCGCATCCACACAGCGCGTGAAGGAGTCGCTAACAATGTGCGATTTGATGTAACTATTCACAAAGTGGATAGCAGGTGAATCGGTCGATTTGGTGAACATCTGCATTAAAAGTAGAAGTGGAAAAAGCACCGGTGGTTCGTGTGGCGAAAAGTCATTTCGACGAAGCCAAACCAAGCTGTAAGGACCCGGATGTCGGGACCATTATAAATGTTTTCTCCGTCAGCGTGTACATGTATGTATAGACTGGCATTTACATTATTTTTGTCTGAGAATGGATCAATAGATTCACACAATGAACAGTTACAATGCGTAACTGGTCAGACGAGCGCTAACGTGACTTTTGCATGCGAGTGATGAGATTTTAAATTGGACCGGAAAATTGGTGCCGTTTAATCCTTGTTATTTTGTTTCATTTTCATGTTAGGCAGCAGGCAAAAGTCAAGCCTCTGGCACAACATGCGTTGAGAAACATCTCGGCTGCATTCCTATCATGCATTTTAATTTGGAGTCAGTCAGTCCTCCTTCAAGTGTCTCCAGTTGGTCCAAAATGATGCTGCTGGCTTCCTAACAGGAGCGCGTAGGAGGGAGCACAGAACTCCAATTCTGGCCTCCCTTCACTGGCTTCCTGTAGATTTTAGAGTTCAATGAAGATTATTTTATTGGTCTTTAATTGTGGAAATGGTCTCCGCTGCATTTTACCTCTCCAAGCTGCTCCACCTTGTGACTAAATGTTAGGCAACCCCCCCCCCCCCAGCCCCCTACTTCCACTTTCAAAACTCGGCTTAAAACACATTTTTATTCTTTGGCTTTTGTCTCAGCCAAAGTAAGTTTTGGCATTGTTTTGCTGTTTTATCACACTTACTATTTTTGTGTTTTAACGGCGTTTTGTTTTGATACGTCTGATTTGAACTTTGTGTACCGCATTTTGTATGCAGCAGTGGTTGTTTTTAAAGCGCTCTTCAAATAAAGTTCACAACAACAACCTACCCGTGAACGCTTATAACTGCCAAATTTACAATGCTCACATTTTTGAATTATTTCCGACAAATTCTCGGACTCCATACTTGAAGTACATTTGAGAAACCGGATTTAGAAGAATTTGTAAAAAGCCATATAAAGGGCAGATGAAATTTCGTCACGACACAAAAGGACAGAAACATTCACTGTCATGCACTATTTCCAATATATTTTGGTTTGGGCGTGTACGTCATGAAGACTTGTCCTCTTTCTGCCACATTGCCATCTGTCAAACATCTGCTTCCAGCATTTTCATTCTGCTTGTTGTGGATGCATTCTGCATTCCTTCATTTTGCACTTGCTTCTTTTCTTCGCTGCCTCGATGCAGTTTTTCCGGTAGGTCCGCAGGTGGGCTTCTAAACTGTCTTCTATCTGACCTTGCGAGCATTTAGACCAGGGGTCACCAACATGGTATGAGCACCAGGGCGCACTGAACAAACTATTATAGTTGACTGATTTCAACTACCAATCGGCGATGAGACAATGGAACATTTTTTTGTGCTTTCACGGTCATATCGACCCTCCGAGGGAAGACGTAATGCCAAAGTAGCCCGCGCCGAGAATGAGTTTGACACCCCCGACATGGATGAATATCATATGAATTATTACTTACATACAACAAAAGGTAATTAGAGCAAGTGCGTATCAAACTGGCAGTCCTCTGCATTAAAGAGGAAGCAAACATTTTCTTGACAGGAATATGTTTTATGCAGCCCCACTTGTCCAAATAGGTCATTTTGATGAATATTTCATGTCTGGAATATGAGTTAAGCAGTAAAATCTACTCGTTTTTGTCTATCTCAGGAGGTGGCCATTTTCCCTTTTACTGTCGACTAAAAATGACATCACAGTTCCTCAGGGCTCAGGTAATAACCAAACATGGCTCAGTTTTGGAAAACAGGTGAACCATGATTGGCCTTGAGCAACTGTGATGTCATTTTCAGTGAACAGAAAGTGTCAAAATGGCCGCCGTCTAAGATTGCTAAAAACAAGTGGATTTTACTGCGAAACTAATAGTTCAGAAATGAAATATCCATCTCTTTATCCATCAATCTGTTGCTATGAATGGCTGGGTATGGGTCAAGCTGCTTTTCCCATCGAGCAGTCCCGACATGGTTCAATATTAAGGGCTAAGACTGTAAAAGGTCTAAAAATTGGGAGCTCCACAAGGTGCTATGTGGCACCCACTTGCGCTCATCAAACATTCATGTGAAAAAAGCAAGGTTGATGATGGGCAGAGTGAAGGCCCTCAACTTAAGACACTTTGGGCGTTTCTTTCCTTTTGCCACCGTCAAGTGTAGAGACCCACAAAAAAAGGTAAACCCACAAAAAAGTCCAGCTCACTCACTCCTTTCAAGAGCATCAGCTTGATTTCATTGCAAAATCATTAATACGTCATGATGCACAGCTTTGGTGTTATTCCAAAAACCCAGAGCTCCGTTTCAGCCGAGATGACATACGCTGCCTTATTTTCACATTAGAGTCCTGTGATGACATTGTTCCCTTGGTGCATTGCGAAGTTCAATGTGTTTTTGGGAGCAACATAACGTTTTTAAAAATACTGTGCCAGAAGCAAAAAAAAAAAAACACATGCAGACAGTATAATATGAGGGCATCGCTCGAAGTGCTGCTAGTGTGTTAGTGTGCCCCCCAACCACAGATGCATATATATATATATATATATATATATATGCATCTGTGGTTGGGGGGCGGGGCCTCGATTTCTTTTTAGATCTGAGTGTAAACACTGCTGCACACCCTGCAGCCACAACAAGGACCAGACCTAGAAAATGAGAAGCAGATACCTTTACAGGACTTTGCCTTCAGTTAAAATAAACAATAATCGCTTCTCTGAGAAAATGCAGTTTGGCCGTCAGCTCTCTGAACTGAATTTGATTTATTTTAGCGCGGTACAGAGGCAACAATTTACTCCCCCCCCCCCTTTTTTTTCCCCCCCCCCCCCCCTCCCTTGTTTCTCTCAATTGCTTTTCTTTCCTCATATGCAAAGAGATGAAATGTTTGCACGCACTGGAAGTGTAAAGTACTCTCATTTTACTCATCAAGTACTCAAGAAAAAAAACAAAAACACAAATCGTCCAATCCAGCAGTTTGCAAAAAGGAATGCAGGGTTTTTTTTTTTCATGGCTTTGCCAGAAGAAAAAGAATTTGAGTGATAGTATAAGAAAAATGATCACCACTTTTCATCATGTAGTGGCCAGTGACCTTCATCGACTCAACTGTACCGAGTACCAGACATCGATTTGAAATAAGTCATCGACACGTGGACAAAATTATTGGGACCCCCTGTGAATGAAAGAATAATAAGAGAAATAACTACTATAATGTAGAAATAACTACAAATAAAGAAAATTAATCAATGAAAGTCAGACATTGCTTTTGAATTGTGGTTCAACGGAATTATTTTTTCCAAATAAACTGATGAAAGAGACCTTCAGAAAAAAAAATGTCACCCTCAAACTTAACATTTTGTCGTACAACATGATGAAGCAATTCTCTGGAATCTAATGATTTGTGTCACTTTCAGTGAAGCTTCTACACCTCTCGTCAGGTATTTTGGCCCACCTTTTGTGAGTTCCTGCTTTGAAGGGTGCTTTCTCCTTCCATATGTGTTGAATACGAAATAGATCAAAGCTCACAAGAAGGCCACAGTGGACAGCTTATGTTATCAGGTTACAGGGTGCATGAAAGGGTTAAAATGCGATTATCATGATTAATTAATTAAAAATTGGGAGCTCCACAAGGTGCTATGTGAGTCCCTGTGTGTGTGCGCGTGTTACTTTTCAACCCAGTGCTGCTCATAGTTTGGTTTGCCCATTCTTCATAAGCTACTTATAAAACCTTGAAAAGTGGTAACAATATATTTTGAGATTGTTTCGAGTATTTGTGCACTTATCAGCTTTAAGGTCATTTTTTTGGGAGACAATCAGTGATCGCGATAATAGCTTTGCACCTTTAGCTTTTGTTTTTTTTTGTTTTTCCCTCCACCAGCTTCGATGACCTTTAGGTTGACGTGGTTTTGTTGTCCCTTTTTCTATTTCTCAGAAAATAAATCAGCTGCACTTTTCAAACCTTTTTTTTTTTTTTTTTTTTAAATGCCCTGAGTCACCCACGTACAGTATGTTGCGTAGTTGTTTAAATGCATTGAGCTAATTGCTGTTCTCTCATTGTTGACCGATAGACCCGATCAATATATGATGACTGAGACTCCCATCTGAGGTTAATGCAAGTCAGTGCCTGGCCAGCACTCACCTTTACATAAAAATAAAAAGGGGCCACTTGAACGGTCCAGGTCTTGCACCAAGTCTATTAATTTTAATTTTTCCCTGTACTTAATGGATTTGCCCTTGAGTTTATAATTAGCTGGCCCTTGGCCTATGTTACATCCCTTTATAAAGTTTCATGACAATCGTGCTGAGTGAGACAAAACAACAGACGTGGGTGATACTTTAACCTCCCTCAGTCGGAGGTAATTATCATAACGCGCTCTTAAACACCCATACTCGTGGCCGTAGCCGCCCTGCAATTAATACTGCGCGCAGGTTTATCACCGTGATATCACCGACTCCCACTTGCTAATGTAATCATTACTTGCATGTTCAAAACAACAAAGCATGATCAGTTTTAATAAAAGCTCCCTCGTGAGAGCTCCTGTGTGAAGCCACAGCATGTGTGTCGTCCATTTCCTCTGGTCTGAATTGGCGAATTTGTTTATAAAAAACAAACAAAAAAAAAAACCTGTCGCCTCTAGTTTGGGTTCGTGCTCTAGTGAAAATTGAAGCGCACCCAGAAGTGTCACCAGAAACCCCGTCTCATCATTGTTTTCTGTGATTGATCACAAGACTAAAAAGAAAGAAGGCCTGCGAGTGATCAGTGAAAAAAATTAACACAGAAAGAAAATGAAATAATCTGCCATTCGTTCATCACTAATACAGTGGAACCCTCATTTGATGGACTGATTGGGGCGAAGGGGCCCATTGTCAATTACAAAGCATTTTTTTTTCATTACCTCAAAATAAATACCGAATACAGTATTAAAAAAGTGGCTCGCCCCCCCCCCCCCCAACCTAAAAATTCCCAGTACAGTCCAACATTTTTGTAAATTAAAAAAAAAAAAGTTTGAAACAAAAAAAAAACATCTGGTCACATTCATAAGCCACAATGTTTGTGCTTCTCTTTTTCACCTCGGTGACAATCACATGCTATTGATAAGGGTCTTACAAAAAAAAAAACTGCATTGTACCAAAATATGTCTGAGGGACGGATAAATGACTAGCAACTGAGTAAAAAGTTGACTGGTGCTACGGTAAATTGCAGGCAATTTAGGAAAACAGACTTGAAGAGCTACTTCAGAAAGGGCATTTTGAGCGGCCTGAACACTATTTTCTGTTCGATGAATAACGTACGCGGTGTATTGTTTCTGGGTCTGAATTGAGGTTCCACTGTATGGCTGAACAAAAGAGCAGCGAAACTTTAAAAGCACAACTCTGCAACTGTGACATTATCCTCATTGTTCTCCAAACAGAGGTTCAAACAAAACCAGGCAGGAAATACCCGACTGAGCACGTACGCAGGTGCAAAGTGCGCACACGCTAAGCCAAAGACGCTTCCATTAAGTTAACAGTCCAATCTATTGACACGCGAGTTGCAGCTATGTCATCAGAATGATTCGCAAGCATGGCGGAAGCAAATAAATAACACCTCACTTCATCATGTTAGCTGCTCATGCTATCGCTCATGTTGTTGCACACACTACATCGTCCAAGACAGATTATTATTCATCCATCCATCCATTTTCCGATCCGCTTCATCCTCACAAGGGGGCTGCTGGAGCCAGCTGTCTTTGGGCAGTAGGCGGGGGACACCCTGAACCGGTTGCCAGCCAATCGCAGGGCACACGGAAGCATACAACCATCCACGCTCACACTGGAGGGACAATTTCGAGTGTTCAATCAGCCTGCCATGCATGTTTTTGGAATGTGGGAGGAAACCGGAGTACCCGGAGAAAACCCACGCAGGCCCGGGGAGAACATGCAAACTCCACACAGGGAGGCCGGAGCCGGGATCGAACCCACGACCTCTGCACTGCACCACGGGTCCGCCCCAGATTATTTTTAGGAGACATATTTATATAAACTGCCATACAGGATGTTTGGAACCATGGCGGGATCATCTCTTGCAGGTTGCTTTGGTCCACACAAGATTAGTTTGCTGTATTCACACCTGTCCAACCGAACTGCACCAGGGGGGGGAAACTAACTAGAGTGCGCACCCTGAGAGGCCTCCACTAATTTGTTTCCTTTGCTCGATCTCATTTATTGGCCCTTATTATCCGGCTGAAACCTGAGCCCGCTGAGTGTGCGTGAGCCGCACTTCCGCTGCATTTGTTTCATTGGAAAACAACAACAGGGTGGGCCCCCTTTGTGAACGATACAAAACTTCATATTGGTGATGCGCACGCCCGTATGTCCATCCCAGCAGATCCGCTCTAAAATCGGTAATCCATGGATAGTATTCCCACATCGCCGTGTCGAAGCTAAAAATCGACCTTGGAGTTGCATATACGTCCCCAGTGACAGCCGCATAGTAACCCACCGAGCAGGGTTTGTAAAAAAAAAAAAAAAAAATTATATCATGACTCATATTTTTACTCTCTCTAAGGTATTACAGAGCGGCGGGTGTCCTGCATAGAATTCAGATGGGGTATTACTATATGAAAGCGCGGAGCACCCGCTTCATGCACTGCATGCTCAATTTCATGGCATAGTCGAGGTGAAAAATCGTGATTTCCTTTGTCGCAAGGATATGGAATTCATCGCGCGTAGCCACCCTATTTTTTTTTTTTTTGCCGCAGGCACAGCAAGCAGCCTCACCTTAATAAAATGAAAATACCCATCGTGAGATGAGGGGCATTCCGTTTGAAGGGGGCTTTCGGATTGAAGGGCTGCCTTCGCGGTGCCGTGCTGGTAACCTACCGATGACTCCGATGACAAAACGCGAAAGGCGGCGAGAGCAACGCGAGGGAAAATAGAACCGCAGGCTGTCATTTGAAAGCCTTTACGTTCGAACCGCGGTGGGAAGGTTCGAGTTCAAAACGGCGCAGGTATGCGGGTGGGTGACAGTAACTGCTCGGAGTTGGATGCCGCGTAATTCAGCTTGGCAAAATGTATAGCGCAGCATATACTTTTTTTTTTCTTGTTGTTTGTTGATTCTGTCAGAGGATTTAATAGTCCTACTTTTTGTTTTTATTGAGGACTGTAGTGGGCGGTAGGCTAAGTGCTTAAGTGCATGAATGCGCAAGTTGTGTCACATATCCAAAACAAAAACACCACACAAGCAGAGTTCAACATCAATCCCTCTCGAGTGATATCGCTTAAATGTTGTTTTTAATCAATCCATAAAAAATAAACAATAAATTATGTGACGAAATGTCAATTGATAAAAACTGTTATTAATCATAATAATAATAATAATAATAATATTACAACCTGATGTGCAAGAGGAAAAAAAGGTAGATTTGGAATCAGCGCCCAAAAATAATCTAGAAAAGTTTACTTGCATGTCTGATTCAAAAAAAGTTTGTCAAAACGTGTTGACCAGTGTTTTATTCGATGAATCGATGGAATAATCGATTCTAAAAATATTCGCTCACGACATCCCTTGCGCTAAGGTGTGTACAATATGTCATCATTTATAAATGGATCTAGAATGTACAAATATAAGGGGATCCCACAAATGTTCAGATTAAAAAAAAAAATAAAAAAAAAAAGAAAAACATTTTAAAACATGTTTTCATAATTTTCGGGCATTTGCCACACCCTCATTTTTAATTGGAAAATGTATCTTAAATGTTTATTTTTTTATTATTATTATTTTTTAAAAGATTTAATCCCTCTCGAGTGATATCGCTTAAATGTTGTTTTGAATCAATCCATAACAAAATAAATACATTATGTGACAAAATGTCAATTGGTAAAAACTATTAATAATAATAATAATAATATTAAAACCTGATGTGCAAGAGAAAAAAGGGTAGATTTGGAATCAGCGCCCAAAAATAATCGAGAAAAGTTTACTTACATGTCTGATTCAAAAAAGTTTGTCAAAATATGTTGACCAGTGTTTTATTCGATGAATCGATGGAATCATCGATTCTAAAATCA